GCTAAAAATAGATTGAAAGCGGCCTTAGAGGCCAAAATACCACATATGGATGTCAAAGCCATTGAATTAGAAGTGTTCGGCGTGGCTCAAAGGATAAACATTGAGCCAAAATCACTCGAAAAGTTGCATCCAGCAAGCATAAGAAATGATGGCATAAAAGGCCAGAGGCTTGATTGCATTTATACTGATCAGCCTTTGGGTTTCAATAGAAGAAATTGACTTGGGTGAATATGCTATCATAATGTCAACATATATCAGTGTCAACCTTAACACGAGTCTAAGGTTAGAGGTAATTAATTTACTTCGAGAATTCAAAGTCTATTTTGCTTGGGATTATAACAAAATGTCAGGTTTAAGCAGGGATTTGATGGAGTTAGAATTACCAATAAATCCTGGGAAGAAGCCACTAAAGCATACGCCTAGACGGTTTATACAAAAGGTGATGTTTGAAATAAAAGAGGAGATCAAAAGACTCATGAAAAACAAGTTGATAAGGACAAAAAGGTATGTTGAATGGCTTGCAAATATTGTTCCAGTGATTAAGAAAAATGGAACATTGAGGGTTTGAATCGACTTCACAAATCTAAATACAGAAACCCCAAAGGATGAATACCCAATGTATGTCGCCAGGATGTTGGTCAACTCAGCAACGGGTTTTGAATATCTCAGTATACTGGATGTTTATTCGGGTTATAACAAATTTTTTATTACAAATGAGGATGTGCCGAAGACGGAATTTCGATGTCTAGGACAAATTACAAAGACTTGGGAAATATTCCTGAAATATCACTAACGTCTTAACACCGTAAGTCTCTTAATTATAAAAATCCATCTGGATAATTGTTATGCCCTAGCCTTAAAATCTCACCCCTAAATAAGTCTCTAAGTAGTTTATTTTAGCAGTCAGCGCCATCTTAAGCATGCTCTACGTAGGGAAGCCGAAGAATATAAGTGAATGAACCATTTTTTTAAAACTTTAATTAATCAAAAATATGGAATGTACCTTCTAAGTTTGGTGACCCTTACCTGGTCGCTTAACCCAACGGTTGTGGAACCTGTAAAAATAGAATAAAAACTCATTGTTAATCGGTTCAGAGGTATCTGGTGCTGAACTTAGTAGGGTGGATTACGGTCCGATCCCCCGCAATTACAATTAGGTAAACAAAGGGGTTACGCCACCACAGATACCAGAACCCCGTGCAAAGGATCAGAATCACTAACTGGTCGCCTTACCATGAGTGTGTACAGATAGAGAGCTTAATGTGATTGCGCCTGAATAAAAAAGGATGAAAAATGGTATGAGTAAGTTAGGCTTAAGCATAAGGATATGATCCATATTGGTTTGTATAGGAATGAGACTTATGACCGCGAAATGCAGAATGTGTTATTACGATACTCTTGTTTTTGTGAATTAGTACCTATCGACGTAGCCTAGTTCAAAGCAAAGTCTTTTAGATCCCTGAGTAACTATTTGAGTTCCACTGTTTACTTTCATTTTTCTTGAGGACAATCAAATGTTCAAGTGTGAGGGAGTTTGATGATACCTAAACCTATCATTTACTTGACCTGATTTACGCATATTTTCCTATTGTTTTAATTTGTTTTTCTACTATTATGCTAGTTATTTACTTTGTTTCAGGAAATCCACTAATTAGGAGTTGTCTACAAAGAAACGAGGCAAAAACGAACGAAAAGCAAGGAAATGGAGCAGACAAGCACCTCTGGCAACCCCCATGGCGTTCATTCTAGGGGTGCCATGGGAGGTCTGTGCACCAAGTAGTGGGATGACCTAGTCATGAGGGTGTGGCAGTCGCCATCCTTTGATTTTTCCAAACGGTTACAAACCATCCAAGCTTGGTCTCCAAGGAATCCTAATGGTTCTTACTTTTTCTCCACGTAGTTGAAGCGGTTCTTAGGTATTTTCTAGGGTTTTGGACTCCTATAAATACCCCTTTCCATACCACTTTCTAGGGTTATGCCCTTATTCTGTCAAATTTGTAAAGCAATATTCTCTTCACATCAGAGAGGTATTGCAGTGTTGATTGAGTTTGTATAAAGTTTGGAGCACTCTTTATTTCTGCAACAATTTATTTTAGTCGTTTATTTTTTGCCACGATTTACTTTCCGCACCGCAGTTGTATCAAATTCAAGACTCCGTTCGGAGCAGGTTTATTTATTTATTCAGCATATACCTTTATTTTTCCTTGCCTTATTTAATCGCACTTATTTCCTCTATCTTAATTACTTTTTCTTTACCCGCAATTATGTTTACTTCCGCAATTAAAACCGTTTATGTTTTGTTTTCCCTAAACATGTTCGACTAATTTTCTTTATGTTGAAATGTGCGGAGCATCAATAGATAGACCTCTATATGTCTTCTCCCTAGGATTATCTTTGTGGGCTATTTTGGTTTAAATGCAATTTTGTGAACTTATTTTAATTTGCCTCACGAAAGTGATGCAGTGAAAACGTCAGGTAAGATCAAAAGTCGTCTGACACTGAAGATTAAAATTGATTTGTTTTTGGTTAATAAACACCGCGAAAACACTTTGTTAACCAATTAAGAAACTTTAACTTTTATAGAAGGAGATTTTAAAACTATTTGCGGACGCGTTTATAGGTTTAAGATCCGGTACTCAAGCAAAAGCTGAGGGACCCTTTTTAAGTTAGTCTTTCAAATCAAAATTACTTTTCTGTTAAGTAAAGAGTCTAATTTCTTAAAAGTGAGTTTACTACTTTAACGCGGTAAGCGCTTTCCATAAGTGACAAATGGAGAGTATAAATTAGAGAGTAAGTTCGATTTTGAATACGCGAAAGAGACAGTTTCTGTTAAATTAGTTATTTTCTAAATAGGAAACATTGCCCCGTAGGCTATCTTAGTGGAGATGATCAGAGTACCGTCGATTGATGTGAATTACATTTCAACATTATTATTTATCTGTGTTATTTACATCCTTTATTTCATTTCCTTCCTTTTAAACTATTTCATTCGCCTTAGTTAAACACCGTAGCAACCATTAACAATAATCTTTGACTTTTGATCTCTGTATGATCGATATCTTTTAAAACTACACGATAGGTTGTGCACTTGCAGTTAGTTTATTTACACCCGATCAAACATCGTTAAACATCTACATAAAAAAAGTGCAAAAATGTGAATATCACACATATATGATAATCATAGCCTAATTAAAAAATAATATGTTATTTTAAACAATTCATTACATATATAATATGTACCCGATCCTATCAATCAACAATGCTGACAAAGATAATGTTTAACATGTGTTTCATTACATAATACCCACACTCGTATCCCTTTGGTTGTCTCATCGACTACAAAATTAAACATTAATTTCGTAAATGTCATATATATATATATATATATATATATATATATATATATATATATATATATATATATATATATATATATATATATATATATATATATATATATATATATATATATATATATATATCTGTGTGTGTGTGTGTGTAAAAATGAATGTCACAAGTAATCTGACCAATTACGTTAGGCGAGATAAATTTGAGCTTTTTTCTAATATTGTGCAAGATATTGTGTTGCTGCACAACAATGGACATTGAAAATGATTTAAAAATATTACGCGTTAAACCAATTACAAAGTCAAAGAAAATATTACTAAAATGTTTCATATAAAGATAAACTTACCTATTAATAATATGCTTCATTTTAGGCTCGAGTGGTTGATATAAGGATCACAATGTCGTTACCGTATTCGTCCTAAGTGATATGATGTTCAATTGCCAATGAACACTGAATTAACATGAACTTATATATAGTTAGTATTTTTTAAAATAAAACTAACTATAACAGATAAACCACAATTTCACAATTACTTACGATTTGATAAATGGTGCTAAGTAACATTCTTTTCACCCCTCACTTAACTTTTTTAAAATGTAAGCTTCAATCCCATTATTTGTCCATCGAATATTATATGGATCCAAGATGCCATAAATATTTAATTTATTTTATTCTATACAAACACAGTAAATATACTTAAATGGTTAAACAAAATTCAAAAAATAAGTGAGGAAATACAAAAACGATGTACTATATATAATGACATGCATATTCTATTATATACTTACGTCCATCAAACTTGTAATATCTCTACGTCCAACCAATGACTTCCAGAGAAAAGTTTTCGTATATCCCTAGAAGTAGAATAGAAGAGTTATATCTTTGGACAATGCTCTAGAGGAAGAGAAATCTGGTCATCGCAACAACCGGCATGTATAACTGTTAAGTACAATTTGGTCTATTATTCCGTTTGGTCGTGTGAATTTCCCATTTGAATGTCTCATCACTTTCAACATCAACTACTTTAATATCATTTTGATTAAATCGAAGGCATTTCTTAACCATACATTTAAGAAAATGCTATAAAATTTATCTCTAATAATTTAAATGATTTTTTTAATTATTATAATTTATTTAATCAATTTATATTATTTATTTATTATAATTAATTTTATTTTTAGATTTAGTACAAATTCATATAATTCAAATATATTATAATTTATTATATTTGACATTTTTATTATAATTTTTTTTTTATTAATTTATATTTTTTTAAGTTGTATTATTTTATAATGTTTATGCATAGCAGATTAATAAACTTATTATATTAGATATATTATTAAAGTTTTTTAAACTGCAAAAATTTAATAATTGACAAGTGTGTTTCGCAACAGTATAAATACATACAGAACCCTGCGATAACACATATATCCTGCTAATATACACTAAAGATACTTACTTGTACCCGATTACTTTGCCAAAAACAAATAGATTAAAGTGGCCGGTGCGATTTAATTTCACATGATGTGATATGCATCTGACAGCTCACCTTTTCCTAAAAAGTCACAAATTCACCAACCAAAACACACTCACACTCGAACTCAAAAAAGAGTCAAACACTCATTCATTTTCTCTCAGATCGAACAACAACATGGCGGGACCTCAATCGTCACATCCTCATCCCTACGTTCCACGAGACTTGCATCTCCCTGGCTACGTTCCATGCTTCATCTCTCAATCCAACATTCTCACCGTCTTTGCATCCTTCACCGTCATTCTCTTTTCCCTCACATGGATCTTCTCAGGTAAACAATTCTCACTATCAGATTTTGAAGTTGAAACCAAATGTCAACTTAATTTAAGATGTTTCATTAAGAAGGAAGCAATGCAAATTTCAATTGAATTGATCTGTGTTATTGAATAATCCGTCCATTAACTCAATTTGTTCATTTATCACAAAAAAAACCCTTTTTTTAAAATTATAAAACCTATGTGGTGCAGTTTCAATTTTTTTGCTTTGTTAATATCGAAATCTTAGTTTTACATTTTTCTTTGACATCAATTTGTATTTGGATTGGTTTGCTATAGTATGGTCAAGTTGGTTGGAACAGAAATCACTTGATTTTCCATGAATTTTTTTAGGCCAAATCATATTGTTGAGGCTGTTGAGATCTATGTCGCGTCAAATCATATTGTTGAGGCTGTCGAGATCTATGTAGCACCTACATATCTGAAAAAATTGTGTCCATATCCGTGTCATTGTCGGATTCCGACATTTGTTATTATGTTCAATTTATTCATTTTTTGAAATTATTGCCAATGTCGGTGTTCTCTCCGCGTCCGCACTGCTTCACAGACCAAGATTTTGGTTTGTTAAACATTGACAGTTCAAGTATGTTGGGGTTAGCAACCAATGTTTTGGATCTCATCATCATATGTGTAATCTGTTGGACACAATCATCTGTTGGACACAATCATAAATGACTACGGTGCTTTTGTGCATCAAAGATTGTTAAGATTTAATTTCAAATGAGTTGGATTTCTGGTCATTAGTTGTTAGGATTTGTATTTGTTACTTTTTGTTCATTGAGTTGCTGCTTGTATTTGGTAAATTCAGGGGATAGGAGTTGTAACCTATTGGTCACAATGTGCTTCTTGGCTATACATAGCATAATTTAGGATTATTTAGCAAACAGAGTAAATGATAAGACACAAAAACTAAATTCCAAGTTTAATTTTCGGTTACAAAACTCAAAGTTGATTGTTATTGTGGTTGCAGCCGAGATAGTTGATAATATATAGAATCACAAGTTTCAGGATTTTTGCTACGCTTTCCACTATCATTGCTATTTGAATTTCTGTCATCTTGAAATGGATTTACGTTTTCTGATTTTGTTTACATGACTGTGAAATCCGCAGGACGCCTCAAGAAAACAAAAGTCGATAGGCTGCTAATTTTCTGGTGGGCTTTCACTGGTCTCATACACATAGTTCTTGAGGGTTATTTTGTCTTTTCACCAGAGTTTTTCAAGGATAACACCGGCTTCTACCTTGCTGAAGTTTGTAAGTCATTTTTCATTGTAATTTGATGTTGAACACATATACAACATTGTTAGAATTTAGAACACCTTTTGAGAAATTTACAGTTTCAAGGCTTGTTTGGATTTGACTTATTTGGACTCACCTAATTCATGAGTTTTTCTGACTATAATAGGGAAGGAGTATAGCAAAGGAGATTCAAGGTATGCAGGAAGGGATGCAGGAGTAGTAACGGTTGAAGGACTAACTGCAGTTTTGGAGGGTCCAGCTAGTCTTCTGGCAGTGTAAGTTAAACTCAATAGTTAATTAATTCCGATTCGAGCATGCTTTTGAAACTGCAAATCAAACATATTTTAATGATATGATGCATCAACTAGCAAGATTATGTTTTAACTTGTTCGAGTTTTCATTTTAAATCTCACTGTTTGTGTTTTCTAATATGGATGACAGATATGCAATAACTACTGGTAAATCATACAGCTACATACTTCAATTTGCCATTTCTTTGGGTCAGCTATATGGAACTGCTGTATATTACATAACAGCGATTTTGGAAGGCGATAATTTTTCTACAAATTCACTTTACTACTATTCATACTACATTGGAGCAAATTTCTCTTGGATCGTAATACCCTCAATCATCTCCATCCGCTGCTGGAGGAAGATTTCTGCTGCATTTCAAGTTCAAAGCCAGACAAAAAAGCATAAAAATCGTTGATGGAGACTTGTTGATGATCTTGTGGAACAAAAGAATAATGAAAACTAGGATGGTTGAGATGAAAGAGAATATTGTTAAGAATTGTATCAATTGATTTTCATTGAATTGCATATCTTCAAAATAGCAATATAGACTTTTAAATTTTAGACCATTCTTATTGCTTATGGTTTAATCACTGGTGACACGCTTATACGATTTTATTTGTGGTGTGTTGGTACACAGTGGATTCTTGTTGCAAATGATTGTCTCTAAAGAATTCCATTGTGATCATCACAGTTATGTAGTATAGGTGTGCTTTCTTGCTCAGGTAATATATTTATGCCCTGCCTAGACCTGCCCGTTTAGGGTAGCGCATAGGGGTGTTTGGATCCTCTCCTTCAAGATTTCTACTTCACAAATGTTTCTTGATCTCTCTTTACATTTTGTTTCTTCTTCTTCCATTGATAGGGGTGTTTGGAACATTTATGCTGTTGTGAGCATTCTATCTGTTTATACATTGGAAATGTATTACTGTTGCTATTGTCTTTGACGTGTGAAGCAGATGAACAAATTATGGAGTCTTCTTAGCATAACAAAATAACTCATGTATGCTTCACACGTTCAAACGCTTTCATGTATGACACGTTCAAACGCTTTCATGTATGCTTATTACAATAAGCCGATGGAAAGAAGCAGCTACAAAATGTCCCACATCGACAAAAATAAATATTATTATAATGTTTATAAACCTCTAAGCGCTTAACAAGATAACTCTTGACTATGAAGAGGTGTGAATGGGTCCTTGCTATGTGCTGGGCTCAGGAAAGTCCCCGGGCCCATATTGCAGAAATGCAGGCCTGGAAACAGGTAATCATCGAGTTGTGAATTGGGCTGAGACAAGTGTATGGAGCCAATCGATTCTAACCGATGAAAATGGTCAAAATGTACAGTCATTCACACAGTCTACTTGACTAACAGAACGGGGCTTATCTCCTTCATGGTCAAAAATATTATTTTTCTAACATCTTTGTAAATACTTTATATTAACAATAACAATCTCAATCATCCTTGAACATATATTTTTCTTTTTTAAAATACAATATAATTTTTCTGAGAAAAAATATTAAATTTGTTGATACATAAAAAAAAAAAAGTTTATACTATCTTTGTAAATAATTTATATTAATAATAATTTATATTGTTCTTTTCATATTTTCTTTTTTAAAATACAATATTATTTTTTCTAATAAAAATTACTAAGATTTGTTGATACATAAAAAATAAGTTTATACCATCTTTGTAAATAATTTATATTAACAATAACAATCTCAATCATCCCTTAAACATTTTCTAACATCTTTGTAAATACTTTATATTAACAATAACAATCTCAATCATCCTTGAACATATATTTTTCTTTTTTAAAATACAATATAATTTTTCTGAGAAAAAATATTAAATTTGTTGATACATAAAAAAAAAAAGTTTATACTATCTTCGTAAATAATTTATATTAATAATAATTTATATTGTTCTTTTCATATTTTCTTTTTTAAAATACAATATTATTTTTTCTAATAAAAATTACTAAGATTTGTTGATACATAAAAAATAAGTTTATACCATCTTTGTAAATAATTTATATTAACAATAACAATCTCAATCATCCCTTAAACATGTATTTTTCTTTTCATATTTTATTTTTTAAAATACAATATTATTTTTCTGAGAAAAATTATTAAATTTGTTGATACATAAAAAAAAGTTTATACTATCTTTGTAAATAATCTATATTAATAATAACAATCTCTCTCAATCATCCATGAACATGTATTTTTCTTTTCATATTTTCTTTCTTAAAATGCAATGTTATTTGAAATAAAATATTATTAAATTTTGTAGATACATAAAAAAAGTTTTTTTTCTCCCTTTCTTTCTATTTAACTTTTGCCTTCTTGTATTTTTCTTTTCATATTTTCTTTTTTAAACAATATTATTTTTCTAATAAAAATATTAAATTTGTTGATACATAAAAAATAAGATTATAACATCTTTGTAAATAATTTATATTAACAATGACAATCTCAATCATCCCTTGAACATATATTTTTCTTTTTTAAAATACAATATTATTTTTCTGAGAAAAATTATTAAATTTGTTGATACATAAAAAAAAGTTTATACTATCTTTGTAAATAATTTATATTAATAATAATTTATATTGTTCTTTTCATATTTTCTTTTTTAAAATACAATATTATTTTTCTAATAAAAATTACTAAAATTTGTTAATACATAAAAAATAAGTTTATACCATATTTGTAAATAATTTATATTAACAATAACAATCTCAATCATCCCTTAAACATGTATTTTTCTTTTCATATTTTCTTTTTTAAATTACAATATTATTTTTCTGAGAAAAATTATTAAATTTGTTGATACATAAAAAAAAAGTTTATACTATCTTTGTAAATAATTTATATTAATAATAACAATCTCTTTCAATCATCCATGAACATGTATTTTTCTTTTCATATTTTCTTTTTTAAAATGCAATGTTATTTGAAATAAAATATTATTAAATTTTGTAAATACATAGAAAAAGTTTATACTCTATAGAAATAATTTATATTAATAATAATAACCATCTATCTCAATCATGATTTGTGCACAAACCATCATTAGTTTCTTTCCAAGCAAGGCTATCAATTATAGCCCATAAAGCAACTACTAGGCCGCCAGACATGGCCATAAGGATGCTCAAATAGTCGTTAGAATTATCCGAGTTTGACATCTGGTACGAGAGCAGAAAAGCCCTCAAGGCACAAGCACTAGCTGACTGCATAGCAGAGATGGCCTTACCCAGCCAACCAGACAAGGGTGCTTGAAGGTGGGTTATATTTGTTGATGGGGCATCCAGCTCGGCAGCAGCGAAGCAGGCGTCATCCTAGAGAACGAGGAGGGAATCCTCATCGAAGTCTCACTCATGTTGTCCTTCCCAACCTCCAACAACCAAGCTGAGTACGAAGCCTTCTTGGCCAGTCTGTGCCTCGCCGAAGATCTGGGAGCAAATGAAGTTGTCATTTGCACCAACTCTCAGCTAGTGGCCCTCCAAGTCCGGGGAGAGTACCAGGTCAAGAATAATAACTTGTACGAATACCTGACCCTGGCCAAGAAAAAGATGGCAAAGTTCTCCTCCGTGGAAGTAAAATACGTTCCCCGCGAACACAACGTCTGAGCATACATCCTGTCGAAACTAGCCAACACGAAGAAGAAAGGGGGAAACAAATTCGTCATCCAGGAGATACTCCCACGACCCATCATCGAGAGAACGTCCACGACTCTCGACGTGCACGTTGTCGACGACGACCACTGTTGGATGATCCCGGTGTACAACTACCTCACTAAAAACGATCTACCATCTGATCCAAAGGAGGCGAGTGTGGTAAGGCGTGGGTCGTGTTTCTACCTTCTGGTCGAGAATAAAATGTACAGATGAAGATTCTCCATACCCCTCCTCAAATGCGTCGAAGAGGAGATGGTCACTCACATCCTGCGCGAGATCCACGAAGGAATCAACGCCTATAACACCTAGGTGGAAGGTCCCTCGTGGGGAAAGCTCTACAAGCAGGATACTACTGGCCGATCATGCAAAACGACGTGAAAGAACATGTGTAAAAATGCGACAAATTCCAACGGCACAGAGACATGCTCCTGGTACCTCCCAACGAACTCAAGGCGATATCCTCCACATGACCTTTTGCCTGGTGGAGCCTGGACATCTTGGGACCCTTTGTTGTAGGCTCCAACCAAAATAAATACTTAATAGTGGGCGTGGACTACTTCATCAAGTGGATAGAAGCTGAAACTCTGGCCAAAATAACAGCCCACAACATTATTCGATTCTATAAGAGAAACATCCTTTCCCGTTTCAGCATTCCTCAAGCGATTGTAACAGACAATGGGACACAATTCACAGACAGAAAATTACAAGAGTTCATCACTCAACTAGGCACTAAACAACACTTTGCATCCGTCGAGCACCCTCATACTAACGGGAAAGTCAAAGCGGCGAACAAAGTAATCTTACAGGGTCTCAAACAAAGATTGGACAAAATGAAGAGGCAGTGGGTCGAGGAGCTGCACAACATGCTCTGGGCCTATCGCACGACACCTCATTCGTCAATCGGGGAATCCCCCTTTCGCCTAGCATACGGGACAAACACAGAAATCCCCATTGAAATCCACGTGCCGACCAGACGAATCGAAGCACCTTTGGACGAAGAAACAAACAGCGAGGCCCTGAGGGAAGAACTCGACCTCGTCGAAGAGGTTTGAACAGGGGCATCCCTCCGTGAAGCCTCACTCAAGAAGAAGTAACAATTAGACAGAATGCCAAGGTCATCCGACGAGAATTCCGAGTAGGCAGCCACGTCCTAAGAAGGAATCACAAATATTCCTGAAAGGGCAAGCTCGCCGCAAATTGGGAAGGACCCTACCGCGTTAGAGCAAAGACGGGGAACTGGGCCTACTACCTAGAATACCTAACCGGGGAAGAATTAGCTCAACCATGGAACACCGAAAAGCTGAAACAATATTACAGCTAAGGCCCCCACTGTCGACGTGTCTCGCCCAGGCGGCGGGCACGGTGACCGACTACAGGTTCATGCCCAGGTACAAGCGATGCACCACCAAAAGGATCTAAGAAAGGGTCTGGCAAAGATACCTACCCATGTTTAATGTCGGTTCCTCGACCGAGCCCGCCGTCGTCACAGTACCATGAATGGTAGAACCCCCAGCTTGCAATGGGAAGTTCACACCGCAAACTCAAGCCACGATCGTGGCCTAAGCTCCGCCCTTTCCGAAAACAACCCAGACCTTTTGATCAGTTCCTCGTACTGTCGAACATCATCCATCGAGCATACCTGGAACATAACAAATCACTAAGTACCTCTGACGACCGCGCTGGACGGCACATGGCACTTAGAGAATATTCAGCGAAATACATACAAACATAC